CCCCCCCCCCCCCCCCCCCCCCCCCCCCGTTCTTCCCCTCTCAAAGCCTTCCTTTGTGCAATAAAACTCTTGCAGCAAAGACTGAAAGAGCGGCTGGCATAATGAGGCTCTGTCCCGACCCACTGCCCCCCCCTCCCCATGCTTTGCAGCTGCCAGGGGGTTGCAGCCTGGAAAACGCTGCCAAGAGAAGGGATTGTCATGGCGACAATGTGACGCTGGGAATAAGGGCTGGAGAAATGCTCAGCACAGCCCTGAAGCTCTGTGCGTGGGGGAACAAGCTTCGTTTTTGGATCCCCGAACTTAGGAATGATCTGGAAGTGGGCTTTCTCACGGGTGTGCGAAACGTGTGGCCAGGTAGCTGTCAAAGCTCTGCTTGGTTTTTAGGGGATGAAAACAGCCACCATCTTGACTTTTTTGACCACCATGGACACCCCTGATCCTTTCTGCTCTGGAATGGTTTGCCTCGAAGCCTTGAAGTTACTTGATGATAAATGGAGTGAATGATTACACTCAGCCCAAGGCAGTTTCATCCTTTCAGTTTTACGACTGAACCCTTTCCCAGTTATCTTCAGCCTGGAATCTGCTTTTTCCAAAACCACAACGTCACACTTGGTCACAGATCCTGGTCAGTTTCCACCAGATCACCATATAGGGGGCCAGGATTGTTGGCTTTAACCTAGTTGCGTCAATTAGTATTGACTCCTGATTCTCCAGGGTGGATCCCGGGGAATATTTTAGAGATCTTTCTTGACACTTTCTAATTTAACCAACCTGAATAAGTTGGTGTCATCAGCAAAGCAGGGGAGGGGGGAGTCAAAAAAGTCAAGATGTCAGCTGCAACTACACAACTGAAACTTCACCCCTTTTTTACACATCCAGAGTAAAACTGTGCTACTGCGGCTGACATCTTGACTTCATTGACCTCCCTGGCAAATGCCTGTTTCCAGCTTAATGTTGGAGCCCAAATGAAAATCCACAATTTTAATGACCATTTGTAGATCTTTTTTTCACGAAAGATGCATGATAACTTTATAAAGTTATCTTTAGAAAACATCCATTTTCTAAAGATAACTTTATAAAGCCCAGCTCAAACAAGAAACGATAATATTCCCATTAAAATTTAACAAAGGGTAAAAACATTTTTTAAAAAATCCTCCCAACTTTCCCAAATGATTTTTTTTTTCCTGATTAAAAAAATTGTACTTGCCAGTGCCAGTCAGTGGCCCTTTTCCCAACCCGGTGCCTTCCAGTCTCGTTTGACCTGGTTAGCCACGAGATGTGAACACAGCTTCACAGCCCTGAGTTGTGGCATGCAGTGGAAAACGTGTGCCGTGTCCTTGAACACATTGCCCCCCCCGGGTTTTTCAGAGTCAACTCACTCGTGGAATCCCATTCAGATGGTTCCTCAAAGCCTGCAAGGTGTTGAGTGCATCTCGGGCACCAGGGTCCATCTCTTCTTTCACCGTCTGGTTGGCAGCAAAAGCACAGATAACACCTCCCCTGATGGAAAATGGGATAGACGTTGCAGGAAACAGAGGACTGGTTTTACACACGAGTAGGAAATCGAGACTACATGCCACTAGATCCCCTTGCATGGGAGCTGGTACAGCCATTAAACCCTAGACCCAGAGCCAGAGGTCTTCAGAGGCTGGTTGGTCATCTGTCAGAGATGTTCTAGGGTAGAGGTCCTCAATCAGAGTAATCACCCAGTATTTTTAACATATATATGTTTTGCTCGGGGGGGGGGTGGTAGTGTAAACCATCTTTGCCTCTGAAGCAGGTGGCAAACAATTTTTTGTATAAATAAATGGCAGTCTTGGTCTTCAGAAGCCCATAGCACCTAGACCTCAAAGGTCCAAAACAGGAAACTCCATCTTGTTGCTTTGGGTTCAAATCCGGCTAAGGCCGAGCTAAACCCTGGGACATTTTCAAACTCTGTAGCTCCAGTCTCCGACCTGCAGCCCCTAAAGAAAGATGCTGCTATTAAGACATGTGGACTTCAACTCCCAGAATTCCCCAGCCAGCATGCTTTTGAGATCATCCAAAATCTTGCTATGCTGGCTGGGGAATTCTGGGAGTTGAAGTCCACATGTCTTAAAGTTACGGAGTGTGAGAAACACTGCTTTATTTATTCATTCATTCATTCATTCATTCATTCATTCAATTTATATGCCACCCATCTCCCCCAGAGGGTGACTCTGGGTGGCTCACCATTAAAATCAAACCTCAAAAACAGTTAAAAATATAAATATCCACATGGATTTAGTTAAAAAATCAAAAATATATTAAAAAAAACTATATACACAAACTTTACACCATGACCTCTATTTAGCTTGGCTCTTCCTGTATCCAGAATAGCATGTCTTGGCTTTGAATTTATAGCTGTAGCATCTCTGTAGGATTCATGTACTGGTTCACCTTCCTGTTGCCCCCATCTCTATGGGGACAACAGCATCCCACCATGGGGCCCTGATGCCAGGATCTGGCCCAGCCTCTCACTTACAGGATCACAAGGGTGGTGAAGAGCAGACAGACCATGAGAAGATTCCTCTGGCAGAGCAGGGAGCGACGATAGGCCTTGATCCGTCCGCCGCAGCGCCGGTGTTTCTGGAAGCAGCAAATGCTCAGTCCGACCAGGGGCACCATCACAAAATAGAGAACCGCAATTGCAGCACAAGCAACATATCCTGCTTGGTACTTAAGGATCTGATGGGCAAGGACAATGAAAAAAAGGTCTTCAGAGAGTGGTTTCTCTTGCCCCTCTCCCCAACCTGTTTCTTTAAATGCTGTGGATCTAAAATCACATCCCTATTTTTTTTTTAATTGCAAAAAGTCCATCCTGGAGAAAAAGGATACGCAAATGCCTTGCATTTTGTTAGCGTAGGGGACAAGCGGAAGGATAAATACTCATCCAGTTCTGCCAGAAAGGACTTCATTAAATAGAATTTGAGGGCTGATTCCAGGCCTTGCATTATAATATTTTCCTGCCAATTTCCTCAATTACTATCCCTTACCCAGCCCACACCCACTATTAATGCTTGCTAAATATCAACACAGTCAGATATTTCCCATTCATCTGTTTCCCAGCATTCAGGCCCAAGTCATTTTTTGCAAATAAAATTCTTAGACAGCCAAGTTGGGAGATTCCCAGGTGTGCTGAACGTATATTTTGCAGAATTTCCAAACATCTATCCAGGAATTCTGGGAGATGCAACCCAGCACTTGGAGAGATTAGGGAGGACTGTTGTAGATGCTGAGCTGTGACAGCCAACACCGGCGTTTCTCGACCTTGGCAGCTTGAAGATGTGTGGGCTTCAACTTCAACATGCAGCTTCAAGTTGCCAAGGTTGACAAACACTGGCCAACACAGACCCATGAAGAAAGAGAATGGGAAATTCCACTGCCCCAGCCCACTTTTTCACCTGAGAAGTTGTAGCAGTTGGTGGCTCAGCCAGGACATCCTTCAACAGCTCTGTGGAATAAGACAATTATTATTGTTATTATTATTTTTGCAGAAGAATTAAATATTGTCACAGTAGATGGAGCAGTAGCGGTTATTTATGATGGCAGAAAGAGTCAAACAGAATTCAGCTGGATTAACTCTCTAATCAGTCTGTGTTTAAAACTGCAATCTAATAAGCTGGAACTTAGACTTCATTATCTGGGGGAGGGATGCCTCACATCAGGAGCGGAGGACCCTTTCCTGTGCAGGGTCACATCCCAGACATTGATTTGGGGGATCAATTGTTCCACTTCCCCCATAATTACGAGCTTTGAAAATCTTGTCATTAGGCTTTAATTAATACCTTGCTTTGGATTCCTGCCCTGTTGAGGCTAGTCTAGCATCTTGCACCAAACCAGCCAGAGCAGCATCTTTCTACGTTGTGGAGAAGAAGAGAAACCTCCTTTTTTACACACACACACACACAAAACCACACACACACCCATCCAGCCTGCAATGTATCCTTCCTCCTGTAGGACTTTGAATATAATGATCTTTGAAGGGGTGGTAGGTTGTCCTAGTTCAGGGCTTCTTTCGGTTTCCGTAGCTTGGTGGCTCTTGAGGTCCACGTGGAAGTTCTGCATCCAGGCTAGACCACAGGATCAGCTGCTGGGTCCTCTAGCAGGACTGACTTATCCATGAGGCACAGCACCGAGGGCCACAAAAGGTAGACGTTATTTATTCCCATGCCTTTTAGGAAGTATTGATTGATTGATTTCCATGCCTTTTAAGAAGTCTTTATTTAATTCCTTGCCTTTTAAGAAATATGCATTGATTTCCATGCCTTTTAAGAAGTCTTTATTGATTTCTGGGCCTTTTCGTAAAAAAACAGGCAAGACACACACAACATGAGAACATCAGACTCTTGATCTTGTTTGTCACCTACAGGTGTTGGGTGCGTTCTGAAATTTAAGAACTGTGATGACACACAACAGGTATTATAATGAATGGGCCACAACTGACCACTATTACAGAATATACATATCATCTGTTATTTACTGTACTGCTCCCTCTTTCCCTGTCGAAATACGAAGAACATATTGAAAATCATATAAAATATGGTTTTAAATACTATTATTTTTAGGAAAGGAGGGGCCCATGATGGCAAAAGGGCCTTTGTTGTTGTTCAGTCATTAAGTCGTGTCCGACTCTTCGTGAACCCATGAACCACATCGCGCCAGGCCTTCCTGTCCTTCACTGCCTCCCTGAGTTTGCTCAGT